CATTTGCACGCAGTAATTGCGTCGTTGCATGACTGTCCAGCCTTCGTTTAGAGACGTCCACAGACGGTTCCATAGCAATATTTGCCAGTAGGAATTCCTAGGGACGGCAAACCCTCACCGAAAAGAAGTGGGATTGCACCAGTGTCCGTGCCATGTGGGGAGCAATCCTCCTGGGATTTCCATGAGGAAACATATACCTACTCAACGGTATTCAGAGGCAGATGGCATTGACGTTCACGGATAGTACAAAGTATACTAACGCAAAGTCGAATACCCACAACTTCTATTGTATTCGTTCCGCGTAGACCAAAAGCAAAGCGGAAGACCACAACTGATCGTCCAAATTACGAGATATATTTCGGGACCAAATCGGAGTGCGACATGATTGCTTAGCTGGCTAGTGACACGATGGAGTACCAAATGACGTGGATGCTTGACCGGAAGCCTTCAGCTAAACAAGTTGACTTAAACAGTGAGGGTTAGCATCCAATGTTCAGTGATGAATGCTGTGGTCAATAATTCGGGGGAATTATTTACCTCTACAGCTCACTCCCCTAAGGAGGGGTTGTGAGGACCCTAAAACAAAACCAGCTCTAATTAAAAGGAACCGAATTATTTTCTCATCGGTAAAAACTCTTCCGATCATCTTTGTAAAGTGCCTACTGTTCGTCTACCTGTGCTAATAGGGTGTCTCTACATCGCTTTGTTATGTTTGTCGATTGGACCTCGTGCTTCGTTTGCTTCTCGTTCATTCCTTGTAACATGTACGGTTATAGAGAATCTTTTTACTTGTGTTACAGGATGCAATACAAAAAAATTGATGTGTGAAAGAAAACAAGAAAAATAAATACCACAAGCGAATAAGAACTGGGTGAATCGCATCACTTAGCTATGTTTCGTCCAGAACGCGTTTTCTTGGAGGGACGAGAGAAATATTATAACGGATGTGGACTTTGTGTACGATTTTTCCGACGTCAAATAAAAGCGGATGCAAAAACCAGCAAACTGGCATAAGTGGTAGGGAGTGAGTAGATAACCTTGAGCGAACAGAGAAAAGACGCAAGTGATGAGGGTAACTAACCGACCAGAAACAAGCACCGATCACTTCCAGGGTGAGATATCTGAAGGGGGTCACTTCTCTCATGTATTTGGGTAGAATAGTTCTAACTAGAGGCTTATGCGCATGTCAGAGACAGGACTGGAAATGCAAAAAAGACTCCTATCACCAAGAAATAAATGTGTAAATTAACTTCCCTCAGAATAAGGAACAAGATTGAGATTTCTAAACACTAATATCTAGTCGATTGTTCTGTATGGTTTAGATACTTGATGTGTTGCGTAAGGCATTTTCAAAAGGCCACATACATTCATCAGAAACTTCCTTTATCCTATGCCAAAGATTAGATGGTCAGAAATGATGAGAAACAGCGAACTCTTGCAGCAGACCGACTAGGGACCCGTTTCTTAGTAAAATCGCCGAAGGAAACGGAGACAAATTGGATGTCACTGAAGAGTTGGTTGAAGGAAAATTTACGCCAGGTCGTCGAACGCAACCCGAATAGAAAACGGCAACCTGGGCGCCTGAGGGCGTCAAGGGGGAGATCCTTTGAGAGTGGGAAGGGAATTTAAAGGGAATCCTTCAGCTAGCTGGAGGTGACTTCGGCATGATGAAGCGGAGGTGTTACGCTGGAGCCTTTGAGAACACTAGGGAATATTAGAAATATAGTGTACTTTAACTAAACGTTTTCTGGAATAGTGCTGTCTAATCATGCCGCTCTGCCTCGTCTAAGGTCATTGAACATTCGAGCCGTTATATAATGAGAGATCTATTGCAGCCGTAAATGGTGGGAGTTTTCTCCACACTGTTATGTGCTGAACACCGTCTTATGTATTGCTTCATTTACTGTGACCAATTTTAGCTCATTTATTTAAGGGTACCCAGGGGTAATACCCTCTTTATGGGTTCCGCTACCGTCATTCACCACTGTGAACACATTCACTTTAGAAGTCTCCAGTTGGTTTACTTCTGAGAGGTTGACGCTTCTGGGAGCTAGTTAAGTTATTGAGGATCACTCCCATCACTCTGGTTAGTTTTTTGAGTTGAAGAAATCAACTGTATATCTGCCTATGTACTGTGAGTAAAGTATGACAACGCCTCCGCCATTATCATATAAGGAACTTCGCTTTAGGAATCCCCATACCAGTGCTTGCAAGTGACTACTAAGGTTTGGCTTGACTATAGGCGACAAAAGCGATTACGAGGATCTATCTTGGTTTGACTGGATTTCTATTCTTCCGTTTCGCCGGTGCCAGTCGTGCTGTCCATCTCCAGCTCAGCCCAGAAGCAACCATGAGTTGTGGAGATTGTTAAAGGCTACGACAATCCTGAGAATGCTATGAATTACAGGCTTATATTAAGCGCAAGGAAATGGCAGAATGTGTTTTATCTCCCCTTACTTTTTAAGTTACCTGTTTTCTAGATGCGAATTTAACAACTGATTGTTTAATAGCTAGTGCGTAAATCCTAGGAAGTGTCAATTTCCTGAAGTGGACTCAGACAAAACAGGCGAAATCTCCCCTAAGTCCACGACACAAGGCATACGTACATCTCCTAAAGGAATCATTCATCTCGACTTGCGGTTGAACAAATAATCAGCTTTAAATTAATGGGTGAAACAAATGATCCATAAAAGGTATGCTGCAAATGCTTAAGGAAGTGAAATCAGTAGAGCAATAACTGGAGTAATACCTCTCCTAGAACTCACTGCCCATATACAGCAAATTTTTCTCCAGTTAACGGCTTTAAATGGATAAGACACTGAGTGGCAAGAACAAAAGGTATCCGAAGAGGAAACGAAAATCTTGGCTGACCTTCACAAGGGGGCCAGCCTATAATCATCTGACCAGCATGGCTATTCTACCGTTCAACATCAAGGCAAGTAAAATATTGACAGCAGGCTAACAGATGACTCCAACCAAACGACTCCGTAAAATAGATGAAAGTCTTAGACTAATCCTTAAAAGTCTGAGGCTGTGGACTAGTAATCTCTTGGCAATCATCAAATCTGAGGTCTTATTGCATCTTTTCTAATAAGACCTCTCTCTAAAAATTATTTCCGCATGATCGGTTCATACGTCTATATCTCTGCACTGGATTTTGGCTCTGCTTATTCTTACTGTTGCCTCACTTGATCTTCCATTCTTCCTTTGCCTTTTACAGATGTTTCTTTCTACTGCTTTCGGTCCTTTTTGACCAAAGAACATATACCGGTTCCACTTACAGTCTTCGAAAGTTCCTAATTTCTTAATAGACAAGACGAACAGCCGAATGGCCACTGAATTAATACAAATCAAGCAAAATACTACATAGAACTACTACACGGTAGGATATGAAAACTTTGTAGGTGTACTTTTGAATCAAGAAATGCTCCCTAATAAATAAAACAATCCACACAGAAATATTGGATGGAATAGAGTGAATCGAGACGGGTCTAACCTACTCCACGAAGCACAGCACGGCTTCAGGAGGGGAAGATCCTGTGTGACGAATCTTCTACTAGCTTGGAATGATTGGACACTATCCTGGGACGCAAAGGTACCAGTCCATGTGATCTTCCTCGACTTTGCGAAAGCATTCGACACAGTTCACCATGGTCCGCTGCTTCACAAAATAAGCAAGGCGGGTGTTTCTGGAGCGCTTCTCGCATGGCTGAAAGATTACTTAGGCGAGAGAGAATTCTGCACCAAAGTCAACCTCATCCGATCATCCTGGCACACCTCGGCATCAGGGGTTCCTCAGAGTTCTATCTTAGGGCCGTTGATGTTTTGATTTTTATCAACGACCAGCGCTTTCAACTGAACTGCTCTGCGCTTCTTTACGCTGACGACGTAAAGATTTGGAGAGCAATAAACTCATCGGAAGACTCAGACAGATTGCAGGCTGACCTGCAAACTCTGGGAGACTGGGCTCTGGCTAACGGAATGCCTTTCAACCTAAAGAAGTGCAAAGTAGTGCAACTTCATTCCGGCAGGTCACAGAGTGTAAATTACACCCTTGGTGGCCAGAACTTGAGTTGTGTGCCATCAGAGCGCGACCTAGGTCTTATTTTAACAGAAAAGCTAGACACCAGTGTAAATTAGACGAGGGACGTCGCTAAGGCTTACGCAACTTTACACTTTATGCATAGGCAGCTGGGAGGTCTTACTCCCGAACTATTCTTAAGGTTGTATACGACATACGTGAGGCTACTCCTTGAGGTGCATAATATCATTGCTCACATTCTAGAAAGTGTCCAGAGACGAGCGACAAAATGGGTGATCGGCCTCCACAACAAATCATATGAGGAAAGACTGAAGAAATTAAGTCTTTTCACAATTAGTTATCGTAGTCACAGGAGACCTCATCACCGTCTATAAAATCTTAAATGACCAGGCCAACCCTAATAAAAGCACCCTGCCATTAAGTGATTATAGGCTTCCACGAGGTAACCCGCTAAGGATAGCACACCAGAGACCAAAGACTCGAGTGCGTTCACATTTCTTTTCGCTTCGAGTTTGCCTTCTCTGGAACACTTTACCGGCGGCTGTGACTACCTCGCCATCTATGGAGATTAGCGAGCTAAATTATTTAATTAAATACCTTTATTATTCCACTTACCTCAACCTATATTATCTACACTACAACCTATTATTATTACTATTCTGCTTTTACGACTCACCGAATGACCAACGGGTGTTAGGTCAAACTCCATTCACGGCAGCAACACAGTCCTAACATACTGCACACTACAAACCACAATCTTGACCAATCCTCGCACCACTCCTCTTGGAGTCTACCAGAGCTAAAGCAGTCGAGTGGCGGGACTTACTACGCATAAGTTCACTGAAGATCTGGAACCTCTACCTTACAATCAAGAAGCGAGCTCAAAGAAATCACTGGTTTATACTAGCTCGTAATCAGGATATTGGATGTTGAAGGTCATTCAAGGCACATTTTCAAATGACGGTGCAATATAATCAACTTGTTCTTACAGGTGGTCCTGGGGTGTTTTTTAGACTCTTATTAAGGTAACTTTCTTCTCTTCTCAGCATTTTTCCAGATGGCGGGGTTGTGTCTTCAAACTGATTTACATCGATGTCATATTTTTTATGGCTTTATACGCCTTGATAAGTTGCATATACCGTTATGCACTTCCAGAACATGCGCAAAGGTGTGGTTCTTTATTTAAAGCAATTACAATTCTTTAGGGTTTTTGAAAAAACTATAGTATTCACACAAAGCTTCCAGGGGCTTATCCCTGTTTCTTTTATTCTTGGCTTCTACATTGATTATGTTTTCTCAAGATTTTGGAGATTATTTATGACTATTCCTTGGGTGTTGAAGTTTGCCATTTCTATTACTGGACACCTCCCTGGAGATTCTGATCGTCCTCGTATGATGCGTCGTACATGTTTTCGTTACATGATGGGAAGCCTAATAATGACTTGTACTCGCCTCAACTTGATTGCAAAAAAACGATTTCCCACGCCCGAATTTTTTGTAACTGCAGGTACTGTTTTAAAAAAATTTTTATTTGGACTAAAATATGTGACAGCTTTACCTTTATCAAGTCTAGAGTTTATTAAATGTAACCTTGGTGGTAGGAAACCCTGTTTATATAATATCGTCAAAAATAACCCCTTCTCCTCAGAGGTGTATACCTGTCAATATTTATGCGGATTCCTCTTCACATAAGGTCATTTCAAATTCTTTTGCAGGATTTAATGGATACAGAAAACCGGTCGATTCTGGTTTCTGCTGTCATGTAAAAGAGAATTCTTCACCTTACAACACTCCACTGGTGATACTTCTCAAAATATTATTCAGATTTGTTGATTGAGGATATAAAGCTTGAAGCCTTTTCAAGTAAATTCCTGTACTTTTCCGAACCCTTCTGGAATGAGTCGGTTGAGTTCACTGACACGACTTCTTCTGGGAGTCAGTCGGTTCCAGGAGTTTTTGACTCGCTGTGAGAACTAGTACTCCTACTGCAGTATAGTTTTTCCTTGGCTTTTGAACTCCTACTATCTTCTCTAAGGTGATTTGACCATCTGGTGGGAAGGAAAAGAGAGAATAGATCAGGCCCGTAGTCATTATTTAAAATTTCAAACATTGTAATTAAATCTCTCTGTCTACGGTGTGATGAGAAGAGATTTAAACTGTCTAGTCTTTCGCCGTATGTTAGATTAATCATGCCAGAAATCATACGTGTTGCCTTCCTTTGAACCCTTTCTAGAATATGTGAGTCCCCATTAAGATAAGGACTGGCTGGCTGTCTGGATACAGTTATACAGTCTTGACCTCATCACAGAGAGATGTATATAAGGTGAACATATGTCTGGGGATTTTAGTAAAAGCTTTGCGAATTGTCCATAAGGGTCTGAAAATACGTACAGCCACCGCGCTACAATGTGTCTAAAGCATAGCTCATGAGAAGATGACGCCAGTTACCTCGCTTCCTTAATTCAGAAGGTATATTTCACAGAAACAGTTCAAAGTTGTCTGAATTGTCAAACACATTATTTGTCCTAGTGTACTTTGATGTTACGGGTAACACGAGTATTAGACTGCTTATTACGTTTTTTTAAAATATCAGAAATTAAGAACTATTTTGCAAACAGTGGGCTAGTTATTCTGGATTTAACTACAATATTGTCATTTAAATCTGACGTGTGATAATCCTATGATGGTATTCAGTGGTAGTTATAATCGTAGGCATAGCTTCATCATCAATTTATGAAATCCACAACCGTTAGTTCAAGCCAGCCACGTAAGAAGGTGTAGACTGGTTGGGATCTTCGGGAGGGCTGGAGACAATTGGTGATTTGGCTGGTTCAAAGTGATCGTTCTCGGTGATGGCTGGCTGGCGCAGATGCATCCACTCCTTGTAACTTACAACATCCAATAAAACTATATTGTTCCTCCATATTAATATTCTTTTTGCCTTATGTTTCTGTTTACTGTCTCTATTTTGCATTTTATTTTACTCTCTTCTCTTGCTTTGTGGGCTAAGAGGAGGTAGTGTGGTGACTTGAACTGCTGCTGCACATCGATGCAAAGTTCTACGTTGAAACCAGTCAGTCATTCCAGTAGGCTAGTATTTTTAATTTCCCTTACCTTTTATTTCTCTACAGTCGGTCAAAAAAAAAACAACTTATATACTTATCTAAATACATAATATACTGCCAAACGATAACTTCTTCAGTATATTCACCACCAAGTTTTTATTAATACGTTTTTATAGGCATATTTACTGAAGACGAGGTGACAATGATCATGAATGTTGCCCCCACGCATATGCAACCTTTTCTGCCTATTGTTTGGACCACCTCGCTAATTACTCGTGCTCAAAAAGAAGGTTTAATAACTAATCATCATGCTTTAGTTTCCATTATTGATGTAAGTCATCCGATGAGATATTTTACTGTATATATATATATATATATATATATATATATATATATATATAAGAAATACCGAAGCAGTTTTGGAAGTTCATTTATGTTGCATAATAATTATTATATTGTAATCTACAAGTTTGTGCGTTGGTGACACAGGTAAGTAGAATGCTTGCCGCCAACCACGCCTCCATGTGGTTCGGGGTTCGCTCTCTGGCCGGCCACCGGCACACTCCTTTACCTCACGATAAGGCAGTAGTAATAAGACTGGCAAAGAGGGAAGGTTACGGGCATAAGGCTAGCAGCGACCTCATCCCGCAAAAAAATAAAATACCACTGCTGCCGAAACGTCAAGGCTCTAGTTTGAAAGCGCCTTATGTTCGTTCCACTGAGAACGTAAAGGAATAAAAAGCAATCTACAAGTTGTAAAACAAGTTTACCAAGAATGACTACCCCTCCCTCCCCTGAAATTTATTTAAAGTAGCCTTTAGAACTACTCATCTGAATTAGAATTGTAAATAGTGTCTTATGTATACCTATTGCATTTTCATAGCTGTTGACATTTTTCAACATCTACTGTCTACCTTTAAATTTTGGGATTATTTTGCGGTAATGATTAATGTATAATAATAATCTGCTTTATTCCAAAAACAAACAGCACTACTTATGTAATACAGCATAGAATTCTCAGCATTTGTCACAACAACACCTTGCATCTAATTTACTCAAAACATCATAAATAAGAATTAACCACACAGGAATTTGTCCAATATTTACAGTAGGAATAAAGTCAAAAATGTGCAAAGTACAAAGTGAGAATAATAACTCTGAAAATAGTAATAATAATAATAATAACAGTGGGTTTGTTTCAAACAGTATTGTCGATACAGTCGGTATGAAAATTTTAGCACGTTATTATAGAGTATTGAATCTAATGTTGATATAACATGGTGAGGGGAAAGACAAAAATTAACACATATTACATAGATTAAATGATGTTTACACTTATGAGAAAATAAACACAAAAAAAGAAGTGAGAGGATTATAAATATAAGAATAATAATAACAACAAAGCTTGATTGATGGTGTAAGGATGGAGAAAATGGTTTATTTACCAGTGCGAAGGAGGTTAGTTAGTTAGTTCGTGCCTGATACTATTTTCATCACATAAAATACGTGCCGCCAAATATGGTATCGTGGAATTATTTTTATACTTAGGCGTTGGTCTTTTGAAATGACTTCTTGTTTTGACATGAGGAGACACAAGGCGAAAGCTGCGGTGGTTGCTCAGAGACTGACAAAATATCACGTTTCGTTTACCTTTTCCGCAGTACGCAATTAAAGATTAGGAATTCACAAGTAATATGTTAGTTTTTTATCTCAGTGAAGACATGATACGCGATTTTATCAAATATTGAAGTAAAAACACAGTTTTTTGTTCAGCGAAGAAATTTCTTTTCAACGACTTCATTTTCAAGCTGTACAGTCGTATTTATATTACAGAAAAGGTTATTAAGTGGCACTAAATAATTGCTCAGTCAATATACATATATGTGAAAAGAATAACGATAATTAAAATGTTATAAGGAGTAGAGTTGAAATGGATAAATTACAAAATTATTAAAGATTGTTTTATAAGTGAATTGAAATCAAAAATTTTTAAAAATGTCAAGTGTTGTCTAAAAATTTTAAAAAATTAAGAGTACGATTACGATAAGAATGAAGATGTGAAGTGAAGTGGAAAGAATTCAAGTGGTAAAATAAAATAAAGTAAAAACTAGGAAGAACATTACTATGACCAAGGTAAAGAAAGGGGTTTGACAAAACGTTTTTGAACACATAATTTAGGTTTCTGTTCATGTATAGCTAAAGCTTCGGCTATGCATAAGTGAAGAAAACGTAAACTTTTGGATCGATTCGATTTTGTCATATAGATAACTTTGAAAGATGAATCACGTGGGGCTAAATGACCTGACTCTGGTGATCACAGATAGACGACTTCGCAGTTCTACGTTCGCCTTTCTGTAATATATATACGACTGTACAGCTTGAAAATGAAGTCGTTGAGAAGAAATTTCTTCACTGAACAAAAAACTGTGTTTTCACTTATGAATAAATGGGTATTTTTCGTGATTTAAAAGATTGAAGTGACAAACATTTCAAAAAGCTTAATTGGTGGATAGTAACTAGCAGTGGAATCTAGAATAACACACATTTCGGACTATTTGGGACTCGTCACTTAGCTGGATGTACTTGCATTCCCCACTAAGTGAGTGATCGTGTTCCCACCGAGACTTGATTTTCCCATCGATTGTGATTGGACCGAAGTGCTCTGTCTCAGGTTGACATTTTGGCTCCTTGTACAGATGCTTCGACGATGTCTAGTCATTTAACTTGAAGTCAGTTGGTGGACTCACGGATTGACTTGTTACCACTACAGAATAATCTCTTTGACTTAGAATATGCAGATGATATAGTCCTGCCTCCTAGGTGAAAACGCCGACAAAATGCAGTCTTCTGAACACATTGAGGAGCAGTAATCCTCGAATGTTTGGCATGCGATTCGCTCCCGCCAAATGTAAAAAGATGCTACAGGACTGAACTGGACTACATTGACTCCTAACTTAGAAATAGGGAGTGAAGTGGTAAAACACGTTGATCACTTCATTTATTTGTGGAGTTGCATCAGCCAACGCCAACACCACAGGGTTGATCCGTGACGAAATCTCAGCTGGGTACGGATACAGAAGGCTCATCTCGCATAAGCCAGTCTCTGGCTTAGTAGACGTGATATCCGACTGGCTGGGTGTCGATCAAAGGAAGTGTGTACTGCTCAACAGCAGTCCGCTCCGTCCTCCTTCATGGCTGTGAGACGTGGTGATTGAGAGTGGAAGACATGAAAAGGCTGGCTAGCTGTCTTTAATCATAGGTGGTATCTGCGTTCTATCTCTCATGTGAAATGGTAAAATAGGTTGAGCAATATTGAGGTAAGGCATCGGTAGAGTGCTAGGTAAAGAGCGGAAATCAATCGACGAGTTTGTGAAGCAGTTACATCGATTGAGAGGTGGTTAGGACATGTATTACGCATGCTTAGCCATCGCCTTCTTCGACAATGGGCGATGTTAGCTGACATAGTGTCAGGTTGGAAAAGAGTTAGTGATGGTCAAACCATAACATGCCTTCATCGTCAGTCAGTGAAATCCACAACAGTCAGTGTAAACCACGTACGAAGATGCCGACTTCCTGGTTGGGGTCCTCGAGACGGTAAACACCAATGGCTGAAGACAAGTGGTGATATAGCTGGCTCAAAATCGTTCTCAATGGCGCAGATTCACCCACTCCTTGTTACTTATAATTTCCAATAAAATTATATTGTTCTTCTATATTACTATTCTTTTTGCCTTATATCTGTTTTTACTATGTCTATTTTGCGTTTCTTTTTACTTCTCTTGCTTTGTGTACTACATGGAGTGTGGCGACTTGAATTGTTGCATGTCGGTGCAAAGTTCTATGTTACAACCAGTCAGTCAGTCACTTGGTGTATGGTGGGGCCGACACGTCAGCCTGAAACCGAGCACTTCGGTCCAATCTAAAATCTAAATTGAATTAAATAACAAATAATAAGACCCGTTACACAAGAGGTGTCTCTCGTGGCTCAAGTGGTTTAGTGAATAACGCTTTGACTGGTGTTTGAAACTATGGACACTGGGTTCGAGCCTGTGTGGTGGGAACATCATCAATCGCTCACAATGGGGAATGCACGTACATCCAGCTAACTAACGAACCGCAAATTGAACGAAATGTGCATTATCCTAGATTCCACTGCTAGTCAGCATCCACCAGTTGACTTCAAGTTACATAACCAAACATCGTCGAAGCATCTGCACAAGGAGCCGACATGTCAACCCGAGACCTGAAAGTTTTTTTTCTTTCTGAACAGCAGATCTGTAGCACACCACATCTTTTCCAAAACTGTCTTCAAAATATCATTATACGTGTTATATGTATATACCTAATGAAGCTTTTTCTTCTACTTTTTTTAACCAGGAAGTGAATAATTTTCGTCAAGGTCTACTGGACATGTTTATGATGGACTTTGTTTGTATTCCGTTGGTGTATACACAGGTCAGTCTCTTTTACTCTTAACTTTTTTCTCTTTTTACACCTACTTACGCTTTGAGTTTATTATCACGTGGTTTATTTTCACATGAGCTCTACTCGAAATCATGCAGTCAGCCAGCCAGATGAGAGCCTACAGAGAGTTGTTATCTGAGATAATTGTGGTGACAACCAGTGTTGGTGTCCATCAGGGATGTCCAGTGTCCCCATTCATCATAGATGTACTTATGGGCTTAAGCCTAACTAACTTCATTGATTCAGGGATTGACTTGTTACCAGGATGGGAATAATCTGGTTGACTTGGAATATGCTGATGATTATGATATAGTCCTCACTCCTAGGTGAAGATGCTTACAAGGTGCAAACATCGGTCTTGTGAACACCTTGAGCTGAAGAGCAGCAATCTTCGAATGTTTGGCATACGGATTTTCTCCTGCTGTCAAATGTGAGATGATGGATGTTACACGATTGGACTGAACTATATCGATTCCTCCTAGCTTAAAGGTAACCAGGCAGGAGTGAAGTGGTGGCTGACTGGCTGGTGGAGCGTGTTGACCACTTCACTTATTCGGGAAGTTGCATCAGCCCAGACAACGCTAGCAGGTTGATCTCTTCGCTGCCGAAATATCAGTACGGATACAGGAGGCGCGTTTGGGATTTCTCAGCCAACTTACACCACCGCCATCTGTCTTTGGCTTAGTAGACTTGATATCTGGCCGGCTGTCGGCCATAGGGCGTGTGTACTGCTCTGTAGTTCTCTCCGTCCTCGTTCATGGCTGGCTGACTGTGTGAGACATGGCCATTGAAAGTGGAAGACGTAAAAAGACTAGCTGGCTAGCGGTTGCTGGCTGTTGCTACCCTGACCTAAGTTGAAACATTTTAGTCAATTATATTACGTCATCCAACCTACTAACTCAATCTTACTTTAGTTGCTGTCTAATTAACCTTCTTTCTATATCAGATCATTCTTGTATTACCTGATCAGTTATCCAAACTTGACAAACCTCATGTACACATACACCCACACACACAACAATCATTATATATAAATGCAATTGTGCAGCTATGTGAATGAATTCGCCAAAAAGTCTCTTCGCTGAACGTCTTCTCTTTTTCATATGACAAGTTATTTATTTATTTATTACACTTTAAAAAAATTCGCCTTATTTCCCTTCCCTCCCCATCATCTGATTGTATTTGACTGATTGATTGATTGATAACACTAATACCATTATTATTATTATTATTTCCGAATGTACTTTCTTCTCATCTTATATTACTGGTTGATTTGATTCAATCAGATGTCTAATCCTCACTAATTTCTACTTATGCATGTGTATAAACGAGGAAGCAAGAAAGTGAGTAGTGCACTTTGATATAATTATGATTATGAGTAGTAGCAATGATAAATTGTGCTTGAAGCGTGTGTGCGGACATCATCAGTAAATATAACTGTATAACAAACACACTGTATGTGACACTATCAAAATAAAACATTTTATCCATAGTTGAGTTAGTCTTTTTCTTTGTGAAATTAAAACACATCATTCGGAGAAGAGGCAACTTTCTTTCGGGGAATGCATCTCCCGTCTTTAACTGTACAATCTCACTTATAGACAACTTTTCATGAAAAAGGTTTGTATACCATTCATTGCTACATGACAGAGTTTCCTGTAGTTCTAGTGAAAAGTCACGACCAGAATGAGGTCCATCCAGTCATCAAGTGTGAGGATGGATATCCCGCTGCGACGACATTGGTTGGTGCTAGTCGTGCTAAATGTATCACGAATTGGTAGAAGTTAGAATTCATGCACTGTTGGCTGGCCATTGATTCGGGCGGGCCCCAGTGAGTGGCTGAATGGTATACGAGTTAGCTTGCCTTGTAACCGAAAGGTTCTGGGTTCGAACCCTCCTTGGCGAAACAGCTGTCCAGTACTCTGGTTTTCTAATGGTTCTCTAACTCATATCAATCCGTGGTCAAACTCGTAAATAATCACCGTTGTTACTTAATATTAGTCAATCCATAAGACGAGTTGAATTAGTGTATCATAGTTGCGTAATAAGATGAATAATTTAACCAGTGAATAAGTTGTAATCACACTGCAAATAAATAGGAGCGAAGGAAAATATGAAATATTACGTAAGAGTTCTAAAAAGGAGAAATACAATAGTTATAAGAAGTTAGAATAAAAAAAAGCACACAAACATCGTCAGTAGAAATCAACAATGGGGTTGTTACCATGATAGTAGAAGTAGACGCAGTTGAGCAATTCTCTTCTCATACCAAGTCACTCACACAACTATATATATATATATATATATATATATATATATATATATATCAAATAGTTCGCCTAGAGTTTGGATGATCTCTAATAGGATATAGTATTAGAGCTAAGTGTTTTGATAATTCATAAGTAGGAGTAGTTCTGAAATCTGCTATTGGTCGTATGCGGTAACCTGGCTTGTGTATTTTAATAGTACCATATATTCTATTAGCATTATTAGTTTTAGGTGTTAAATTAAACCATTTAGACTCACCTGGTGACAACTTCATACTATGTATTAAATCCGCTGTAGATTTCTAAATCTCATTCATTACAGTATCTACAGGCTTCTTAATTTCCTCATATGAACGGGCCCGTTTCAGTGTTTTCAGTGACTTCCTTTATATAATCAGATTTATCCAAAACTACTGTAGAGTTTCCTTTATCAGCTTTTGTGATGACGATGTTTTTATCATTTTTAAGATTGATTAGAGCTAATCTTTCCGATTTTGTTAAGTTGGCCTGTGTTTTCTTTTGTTTCTTAAGAGTTAATGCACACTAAGTTCAAACCTCTTCTGCTGTCGTCTTATCTATTGAACTTTATGCTACTTCTATGTTAGGGATGACAACTTCTGGTTTTAGTTTGCTAACTGTTACATTGAAATTTAATCCCTTTTCAAGCAGTTTTTACCTCACTGGAGCTTTATTTCCCTTGAAGAGAGGTTGACTACCCACCTTGTTTTGTCAATAGAAGGTGAAGCATTGTTGTCAACTTCTTTGTTCATTGTGCTGTTGTTTTCTTCTAATAATTTGTTGAATCACTTAATTTGCTGCGTGGTTTTGGATTTCTTCAAGGATGCTTCTCTAGCTTTATTGGATGTTTCAATCACAATTACGTAATCTATATCATTTAGCATACATTTGAGTTTGTGTTTGAGTTTATCAATTTCATTTCCTTTATATTCTTTAGCTTTATAATAATTCTATGTAGTTCTTCTTTAAGACATAATTCGTTGATATGTTCCGCTGCTGATGTTATTTTCCTTGAAGTAATTGGAGTACTTAGGTGTAAGTATTTAGGAATTACATCACTTGTTAAACATCTTATCGATAATGGAGAGAGATATCACTGCCTTGTTGATTGGTAAAATGTGTTATTGTGTGTTGCACTCTGAGGAAACCATCAAGTGACATCACAAGACAGTCCACCGCTTGAGTGGAACACGAACGGGAAGCAGCGACTTGGTCGTCAGTGCAAGGGTGACATGAAGGAGGTTGTGTGAAGAGGAGATGAAAGCATGTGGACAGACGTGAAACCAGATGAGAAAACGTTGGCAGAGAACCTCGAACGCAATGGAGACGTGCGGCTGAAGCTTTAAGTTCCTCTAGGAACTAAAGGAAACAATAATAATAATAATCGTATGAAAGAAAAATGCTCTACGTGTGTCTGTATATATGTTAGAGGAGAGAGTCAGAGTGAGTTGAGGATCTAATTGAAAAGCAAAGATATACATTTCATCGTTCAATCAATCAATCCTTTTGTTTACGTTTTATTCTTTATTTATTTATTCATATAGGTTGTAACATTAGCAGTGTATATTTATTTTGTTGCCTCGCTTATTGGTCGACAATTTGTAATCAATTCATCACCCTATGCTGATCAAGTGAATACTAGAGATTTGTACTTTCCATTCTTTACTATCTTGGAATTTATTGTCTATATGGGTTTGTTAAAAGTAAGTGAATAAGTAGTATGTGTGTGTGCGTGTGTGTAATAGATGCCTTTCATTGTGACACACTATTTCTGTATTATCTCTACTGATTAATATACACATATTATATTTCAGAAGATGATAATAAGATTCTAAAAAGGTGGGTCCTGAATTTCGCAGATGACTTATGACAGAAACTCGAAGACATACAGGCAGGCGAAAACTGACTGAAAAGGCGGGCTGGCTGGCAGCGAAGACAGAACTGACTCCATCCAGGTGGTGAGCATGGAGAAGGTGGAGACGGGGGTGATGAAGACCATCAGCCAACCAACCAACAGCAGCGATAAACAGCACGAGTCACCATCAACGGGAGAAAGAACTTGTGACAGAGGTTACTCCCTGCTTTCAGTTATCTAGTCTAGGCAGCCAGCATCGTTTCAACTCCCAGGCACTTGGAACGGAACACCTTTGTCACCTTGAAATCAGTCTGGAAATCTTCTCCACTCCGCCTCAGCATAAACAACAAGATTCGGATTTTTAACACAAATACCAGTGAAGTTAGTCAGTCACTTCTTCTATATGTGTCAGAAACTTGCACTGCGCGTGCATCACGAAAAGCATTTCAACAACTACCCACTTTGATGTCTATGGCTCTATACTGGAGATCTAATGGCCAGTCAGCCGGTCGGCCGGACAGACAGACAGAATTAGCAAAATGAAACTGCCCATGAACAAATCAATCAAGAGCCGCCGATTGCTCAACAAATATGTAGAAGGAAATGGAGATTGATTGGTTGATTAACCATACGTTGAGGAAGGAGGCCATCGGTTGAATGACATGGTGCGCAATGCAGGTCATCCATCGCTCGAATGGACTCCGAGTGAGGGAAGCGACGGACTGGTGGGGGGGGGGTTGGTGCTATTGTGATATGGAGGAGGTGAGAGATTATGGGCAGTTGTGAGCAATCAGGCAACTGAAGAGGACAGCGCCAAATAGAAGAAAGTGGAAATGTGGTGTTGTTGAAGCCAGCCCTATGTTTCACTCGAAGTCCAAGGGAATAATAATAATAATTTCAGAACACAAATTAAGCAAGCAAACAGGCATTTTCGGTAAGTTCTCCATCGGACTTTACAGATACGTCATAATCAAATATTAGTCATAGACAATGTTAATCAATCAAATCAAATATATAATCAAGGAGAGAATGTAAGCAGATTAATAAGCATAATAAGTTTAGAAAGTAAGATTCAAATAAGCAACTTTTGATCTGGTTGTGTTCTCTGAGCTGGATAGTTAATTTGCGAAGCTTTCATTGCCCTACTAGGCGACATCACCACCTCAGCGCATACTTCAATTTGAAATAAGCTTTTAGATTTCTCCACGAGTTTATTAGTCATCTCTCCTGGTGAACTGAGACGTGATTGGTTGGTCTTGTCTGTCTCCACACCCTCTAGTTTACTTCTGGTATTGGTATTGATTGCTTCATTGACCCCTGAATTTTGACCCCATGTGTGTGTGGGTGGGTGTGATTTCCTTCTTATCGATTGGTAAATTTTGTCTATGTCAATGTGTCTATTGATTTACAATTCACTGGAATACCAAACAGCCTTCTAAAAATTCTCTAGCATTCTTGGTGTTGTTTCCTCTGTCTAATATTGTTTCAACGCTGGTTGTCACAGTCGAATTGATGTCCGTGATTGTTGTCTGTATGCAGTGAGGCGACATGAGTGAGTGAGGGAGTGGATGTCATGTCTTTTGACGGCTAGTTTATGTTCATGGAAACGAAGTGTTTTTCGCAGTTGTTACTGTATATTTTGTAGATGCTGATGTTGGTTTTACCTTCTTTCGTTGTTGAGTCTTTTGGTTGACACATAGTAAGCTGAGTGAAGTGATTTTGTTGGTTTGTGTGCGATATCAATTCCTAAAGGTTTGAAGAGTCTTGCAGTTATCATTGAGATGTCGTCTTTTATATATAGTTGGGCGATTTTCTTTGTGCTTTCCTTGGGGCCTTTGATTTTGTAGGTTGGCTGGCTTGAGAGTAGACGTCTCTTGATGAAGTTCCATGGATATCCATTCTTTTGTAAGACGTCCATGAGATATCTTCCTTCAAATTTCCTTAAGTTGGGAGTGCTGCAATGAGTCCTGGCTGGCTGACCCTCTTGAACTGTGTTTGTATGCAATTCCAATAACCAGATCCAAATCATCCACCTGAGCTACAAACCTTCTCCATCATATCTAAATAAGCAACTATAACACAATTGCTGATTATAGATAATTGATAAGTTAGCAGTACAAATAAAGACAAATAAATAATATTTACTGTTATCCGGTATCGCCAGGAGAGAAAACTATTCTGGGTTAGGGTTGATGAAAGCCATGCAGGTAAAGAGGGATCGGACAAACTTCTCTTGAATACACAAACTGGGCTGTGAAAAGTATTTATTGTGATAACTGACTCAGCTATGCTTAGCAATTCGAAGGCACAAAAATTTAGGGAATTGAGGTGGCATCTTGTATAGAATTGTGTAAAGGCGGATTTTTTGTCTATTCACAAGGCGTGCCAATATGTAACTCCTGTTTGACTCTTTGACTGCGGAGTGCAGAAGATTTCCAAACTGATTTCAGGTTGATGAAGGCGTATCTTGCTTGTCTTTCAAATTCTGGATGGCCAGCTGCTTTTCATATCTTCATCTGTTCCGACTGCCTGTGGGTTGAAACGATACTACAGCCTAGGCTAGATAAGTGAAGACAGGAAGTAACCTCTGTCAAATCTCCCCTTGATGATGATTGGTGCTGGTTGTTGCTTTTGTTGTTGCTACTGCTGTTAGTTGGTTGGTGATCTTCATCACCATCGTCTCCACCTTCTCTATGTTCATCACCTGAATGGAGTCAGTCCTGTCTTCGCTGCCAGCCAGTCTGCTTCTTCAGCGAGTTTGTTGCCAGTTTTCGCCTATATGTCTTCGATCTTCTGCCATCAGTCATTTGCGAAATCCAGAACCTCTAGAGTCTTCTTACCGGCCCAACTTTTTCCTGTCTTCTCACTAACTCCCTGTGCGCAGTCTGACGCACAATCCAGTCCACCACAATTAGGAATATCATCGTTGGTGATCCAAAGCAGCCAGCCTTGTCTTTCTCCTGTATTCACTTCAAAGGTAGGCTTCGTTGAGTTTTCCGTTGTAGATCACCTGACCCGTGACATTTTAATATACCCAGCCGGCTGTTGAATTAGGTTGGTAAAGACTTGGAGCAGTGCACTGCATAATGTTGAATCAGTTTCTATATTACTTCTCGGTCAACGTTGTTCATCATTCATTGCACCACTTTTTTTTATTAATTTCTGGTCACAAAATATTAATTACTGTTTGTAGATTATTTTGCACAACCACAAGATGTTATTAAAGGTGATTCATCAAATGTGACCCAAACTATGTGTACACCAAAAAACAAACAAACAATAGACTTCAAACTTTCCCCCTACCATAGGCTATACCAGTGCGTCGGTGGCATAGCGGTTAGGACGCTCGCCGACCATGCACATGGTCCGGGGTTCGATCCCCGGCCGGCGCACTCCTTTACCTCGCTAAGCCAGAACTAAAAAGCTGGTGAAGAGGAAAGGTTGGGCATGAGGCTAGTAACCCCATCCTGTAAAAATAAACACTGCTACAGAAACTTCAAGCCTCTAGCTTGAAGCCCTATGTTCCACTGGGAACGTGAAGGAATAATATTATATATATATGATATATAGGCTATACCAGTTGGTTTATTAATAATACGATTAGTTATAAGTTGATTGGACACTGGTAACTAGTGTGATGTGTCTAAGCCTTGGTGTTGGTGCAGACCTAATTCTACCAGACAGCCAGGTTTGCAATGTGGCCACCATGCTACTAGGTGCCTGGCTCGCCATCATGGAGTACATTGATTTGATGATAGTAGATGGTTGGAGGCAATCGGGCACAGGAAGCCCTGTCTAGACCTAGGTTTCGTGCTAGTTGGCACTCACCGGTCAGTCTGCAAGGCGTATCTCCAACCATATTGAAGGAACAGCTCATGTCCCTTGTGAGATTCGAACCGGCGTCACCCAGTGAGTACTGCAGCCAGTCAGAGTCGTTACCACTGAGCGATTCAGGCTCGCGACTGACCTCCTGTAGGACTCTGTTGGAGTTGGTGTGGTACCCCCTGTATAGAATTGTAAAAGCTGAATTTCTTTTGTCAATCTTGTGCTCCGTTTCCACTAGGTGTGTGCCAGTATGGAACTTCTGATTGACTTTACGACTCCTCTACCTAACCACGCTGTAAAATGCTCCAGTAGGCGACGGCGGGTCTACTGAGTCGTTCTACCTCTGAATGTGGTTCATAATCATATCATCAATTCCAGTCACAAAACTTCGAAACTCTCGTTTTATAATTTACTTTATTCTCTGCTATTTGTCGTCGTAGGAGTAGAATTTCCCAGATATCTAGGTGGGCAGGTGTTGAATCATTCTCTTATTACACGTGCTTGCAGTTGATTCGATGATGCAGGAATGAAAGTGGCTGGCATTGAAACCCACAAACTCAATTAGAAATAAGCTTTGTCGGTTAAAGGATCCTGTGGAGCCTTTAAAATAAAACAATTTAGTTCATATAATACCCTACCTGCAATAATTGTTAGGTCAAAGTAGTAGAACGGGGTAAGTCAGTCAGACTAGCGGAGCACAAAAACCAAGTAAAATCTAAATTATTTGACTCTAATAAGATTAGAAATCTGTAGAAAATAGATCAGCAATTGCACACAAACATACACTATCGGATGATGGGTTAAGATGGTAGTTTTAAAATCTAATGTAAAACAGGAAGGGGGGAGAGATTGATAACTGATGATAGTGGGGGGGGGGGAAACGTGTAGTAGGAATGATTCAACATCTGTTCACACCGACATCTGGAGAATCCTACTACCGCCCGCGATCTACGGTGAATAGGAAGGAATAAAGAAAACTATAAACCGAGAGTTTCGAAGTTGTGTGATTACAACTGATGAAAT